TATTATTATCACTACAAGAAAAGCTGCAAATGAATGTTGCAATTTGGCAGCATTCCTGCCAGGTAACTATGTCCATTCCAGAGTGCTCCATTCTATTCTTACTCATGTAAAATTTTGTAGCCCAATAAGGATGGAGCACAGCCCCATCCTTATTGGATTGTTTCCTCACATCGATCTAACACCATGCTTCTTCTAAAACAATTGGATTCCCCATCTTGTTTGTTGACCGCCATTTCACTACACAGCCATTAGCAACAGTACCAGAGTTTGCTATTAGAAGGGCAGATTGATTAGCTTTTATTAATGTACACATTGGACTAAGTGTAGCTTTCAGGTCTTCCAATATCAAGCCAAACACTTTGTTTTTCATGGTGAATCAGTCAAGTCTTGGAAATATACATTTGCAATATTACTTTAAAGGAGAATATTTGTAGCTCAGGGTTGAAGTGAAGGATCCTTGGTGCTCTCTAAACTTCATTGTTTACTTGCAGATGTTATATTACCCAAACTAGGTAACATTATCAAGGCTAGCGACTAGCAAGGAAACAATCAAGCATAGACAGCACCAAAGACCCTTCACAATACTATTTTGCATGACAACAGTCTAGAAACACAAATGACAAACTACATTTTCACAGGCAAACTTATAGTTAATCCCAAATTATTATTATTATTATTTAAAAGAGAGACGGTTTGGTGTAGTGGTGGAGGTACTGGCATAGAATTCAAGAGATTGTTAAGTTCTAATTCTGCTTTAGGCATGGAAACCAGCTGGATGACCTTGGGCCAGACTCTCTCCCTCAGCCCAACCCACCTCAAAGGTTGTGGGGGAAAAGAAGAGGAAGAAGTATTATGTACATTTGCCACTTTGAATTATTTATAAAGTAACGAAGGCAGGGTTAAAAAATCTAATACATTTCATACTTGTTTACACCTTTTACCTCCAAATTTGGTAACCTTATTCTTTTTATGAATGATGTGGTAGACTTTTGTTCTACTTGAAAGCATGCTTTCTGCGTTCCATTCAAATATTTTCAACCCCTGTGATGTTGAGTGGCCTTTCCATGAATACATCAAGGCAAAATTTAAATGGTTAAGTGAATCACACAGTTCAATTCTGAATTGAATGCCCCCCTCGCCCCCCCCCCTTTTTTTTTTTACAAATTCACTTGCTCTTAGATTGTCCTATTGCACAGGAAGGGCAATCTTTGGCCCATGAAGTTACCTGTAGCCTTGCATTATTTTATTTTTTTGCACTTCCTGGAGCCCCCTTCAGTTGACAAATTTCTGTAGCAAATTGTTGAACTCCAGTAATATGCTGTTGGGGTTGTTGTTTTTTTTTGCATTTAAAAAAATAAATAGCTATTTGTGAAATCTCTGATAAGCTTAAAGTTTATTGTTGCTTTAAGAGCAACAATAAACTTATTCCCAATTTCCCTATGGGGGTGAACATTACAATCCCACTTCATCCAGAAACATCACTGTATCACTGCTGTGTCCCAACAGTGATTCTCAGATGTAGAACAATTTTTAAAGGAAGTGCAATTCTTCTCCCTAATCTGTTCCTATTTTCATTTGACTCACAGCATTAATCTGCCTTGATATTTTCATAACTCATTTCTTCTGCAATCGAAAAGTGAAGTCTATAAAAGGCAATAATGGAATTTAATGGAAATTATACAACCTCATCTTCAAATCATATTAATATCTCTCAGTGTATGACTTTCTGGAGCAGTTATCCATTTGTCTGCATACATTGCAGACACCATAAAAATGCATTCCATGCCATCTTTCCATTCCTGGCTATCTTGTTGGGTGATGGATTAAATAGCTCTTGTTCAAAAAAACAGAGAGAAGGAAAAAGGCCAACATCACGATGAAGAGAGGATTTTATATTTGAATCCTCACCAATGGGTTACATCCTATCCACCTATCTATACAAAAATTTCCTCTTGCTCTTCTATAAGGATTCTTTTGAAGAACATTTTTAGCTACGTCAGCCAAGTGCATTCATGCAAGTTCCTCCCCTGCAACGTTTGAAAAACTGAACAGGGTTGGAAACAAAATCTTGCTATTTATGACCAGATGGTTGGACAATTGGAATACAAAACCAGGAACAATACGTACGTACATACATACATACATACATACATACATATATATATATTATATACATATACATTTATATTTGTGAGATTAAATTTAAGATGTTTTCTTTTAAATCTGATCTGCTTTTCAGAAGAATTACTGTTCCCTGTCCACCTTTCATCCAGTTTAGAGTATTTTGTGTATCTCTTATACTATCTTGCTGGATGCAGATCTACTTAATCTGCTGTAATTCAGTATGGAGATGAAGGAGAGTCTTTTCGAGCTACTTTCCATGGTTTTCATTTTGTATGTATGGGAATTCCCATGTTATTAGGAGAATGGCACAATTTCTCCTGTTGTGGCTATTTCTGCAACTTCTTCCATCTGTATGCATAAAGAGAACATAGTATAGGACGTGTTATTTTGAATGACATCACTCAATCATACACATGTAAGTTCCTACCGAACCTGGATCCTTCAAGCGTCAGACAACCAACTCCATTATCACCCCAGCGGTTGATGGAAAATGTGCTGCAACAAATATAATACATAAAGGGGACTGAGGCTGTAAATTGGCTGAACTAGACTTGCAGTAAACTTTTGAGCAATTCACAGAGCACTAAAATGCATATTCCCCACGTTATACGTGCATTAACATACAATATGATTCTTTTAGCTTCAAGAGCAGTGAGCGTTACGATAGATATGTGAGAACAATTTACAATGTGACCCTTTCTATATAAAGGATATAGGAAAGTGCCCCTTCCCAAATCCTTTGATTCCCCACTTCTAGGATAAAGTCTTGGACTTTATCCAAGATGTTTTTAATTTTTGATTACTGAATCCAAAATATTTGCCATGCTGAAGTTCCTTTTCCATAAATCATGGCATGTGGATAGAATACCCATTCCATGTATAAATTAAACATGGAAAATAACCAACCAAATTGTCACTGTTTGACCAATGTGAGTATATAAACAGATCACAGAAATATGCAAAGGTTAGCTTAATTCTGGGAAGTGATCTTCTTGAATACTCATCTTATATGTGAACAGTTTTCACCCATCAAACCTTTGAATTCCAAATTATAAAGGATAAAATTATTTTTTATCACAAATAAACTACACGTCCTCATTATGGGATCTGGAAATTTCTAGGTGTACCCTGGAGAAATAAGTGAAAGAAACCATCATCCTTCAAAATATACCAACTTCTGTAATGCTGACCCTGATATTCAATCTCTTTCATCACCAGTATCTTTTTTTCCACAGCAGTATTAATCCAAGAACACATCTCAAATTATAGGAAGGAAATATCCTGGGATTTTCTTACCCACAGTGAAAAGTGCATGAACACATGGGGACCAGAACATGACAATTCTAAAGGAAACCTAGACTTTTCCTGACAGAATACTATTTTAAAATAATTAATTCCAAGCTTTTGAAATGGCATAGCTCAGTTCTTTTGACAAAACGGTTACTTTTCCAGCAACAACTTTACAAAATATACTTCTACTGCCACTTCTTGTGGTAGATATTAAATAAATGAGATGCCATTAAAATACTATCAAACTATCAGACTTAATATTACCAGAATGAGGCTGGTATCGTCCAATAGGTGGTGCTGTGATTGGATGAGAGAAATTGCATGATTTGAAACCCTCCCCCCCTTTACATTATATACTTTAAAATAAGAAGACATTCTAGAACAGTTGTTTCTGGAAGTTTTGCCAACCTGATATCTTCTGGGTGTCCTGAATTACAATCCTCATCTGCCGGCTTGGAACCATGTGACCCCATGGAGAACACCAGCATGGAGAACACCAGCAAGGGAAGGAACTTTCATGTTTTTCAACTCTCATGAACTTACTTTATATGCAAAATCTTAAATGGGGACTTGATTATTAGTGCATGTTTAAAAATTATTTAAATAATACAACATTCAACTAAACTCCAGGCACAAGAATGAGTCTAATTAACTAACAAGAAATATTCTGTCTAAGAAAGTAACAAGGATAGACATGTCTGGTTTCACACATCATGTACACTATGGTATGTTTACTGTAGTTTATTGACTAAGCTTGGATTGTGCTGGATTTACACATGGTAAATGTCCAACAAACTACAGTATAGCTTGGTATGTTGTATGAACCAAGCCCATTAATAAGAGAAAATATTTTTGGAGATCTTTCTTGAGTTTCAGCATGCTACACTTCACAACAAGTCTTGTTTTTTCCTTACTCTCTTTAATATTATCCCTGCATAAAACACTGGCCATTAGTCCCAGTTACATAGATCTTTCAAACCAACATTGCGATGCTTATAAACTGACCATAAAACTGATGGAATACAGTAGATTTCAAGACTTGTGGTGCTTGTAAGGACTTGCTATTCCATGGAAATGTTCTTTTGCAATCTCTTTTCTGTGGTGTAATATTTGATTCTGAATGAATAGCTTTTTGGAATATTGCTTCCTAGCTCATGATTCATAAGCATGCAGGAACATAGAATAACAACTATAGCATTCCGCTTTGCTTCATTAAATAGAGGGAAAGGGGTAGGAGACAAAAAGAGTTGAAGTCAGGTGGCACCTTGGACAGCTTTTGTAACCCACCAGCATCTCATATAGCTCAATACTGCTGTGGCATAAGATCTCCCAGGTAGCTAAGATATTGTAGCATTTTAGACCTTTCTGTGGTTACTGTTTACACTAATTGTTCCTTCAGAAAAGAAATGTGTTGAAGTTAAGATACTGACAGGGTAACATGTGCAACACATGATATTGTGTCACTGCCAGGGAGAACAGTATGCCAACAAGAGAGATGAACTCTAAATCCCAGCACTAAATGGATCTGTGCAGTGGTCCTCAGACCTGATGTAATGAATGAAAACAAAATGCAATAACCCTTACCATTAAATTAAAAAGACAAGATTCATTGTACACTTTGCTTTTGACCACCAGGGCTTTGTTTTCACGTTTTGCTCCTAATTAGTTCCAGATTCCAATTTCCCCAGCAAACCCTGATGCTGACAGTGGTGAGATGGATCCAGCACAAACTGGTGGCCTTTGGAGATGCAAATACAGAATGGCAGTTCCATATTTTCCTAAAGTTTCTGGCTTCATTTCCTGGCTACAGCTGCCTTGATATATTTGCTCTCAGCAATTACGTCTGAACCCTCAAGTTCTTTGAGAGAGTCCAGTTTGTTAGTCTCCAGAATGTAGATTCCCAGGAATCTTCCAAAATAATATGAATAAAATGTAATGAGGAAAAGAAAAACAGGCTGATACTTCTTCCCTGATGTAAAAGTCAATCATGATGTCTTTTTCAGTTGCCAACAGGGTTGTCCCAAAGATGGTCAGCAAAACCTCCTGCTGGCTCACTTGTTAGAAAACAGATATAGTTCCCACCACAAAACATAGAGAACAATGGATTCCAAGTTGTCCAAAGGATGGAAAATTAAAGATCTTCCCATCTCAAAACTAGACAAATGTCCCACCCTCCACCCCACCCAGCTCAAAAGATTAAGACTCAGGAAGCAAAATGAAAACCACTGGCCTTATTTGTCACCAGCAGAGTCTTTCTATGTTCTAGTTGCCTGCACAACTGAAGAGCCAACAAGTCAATGTATAGACATGGGGCATTAGTCCCAATCCGTAAAGATTCTCATCAGGCAGATGGGACAGAAGACATACATCACTGAACACAGTTGACCATCTTCCCACCCTCCATGATCTGTTTCTCCAGTTGACACAAGACGCACACCAGACACAGAAACTGACAATGATTCATCACCATCAAGAGGTGGGTTGTGTCTCTGCCGTCCATCTAGAATTTCACCACCCCACCTGGTCTTTCATAGCCTCATACTCAACAGATGACAAGGTCATCTACTACTTTTTCTGTAGTAGTTCTTCTGACAGTGCTGGGCTTTACAGTATTTCCCCTGCAGTAAAATTAAGGGAACGAGGCACAGGATGAGGAAGAATAAAGACTGGGCATGGGTGGAAGAAAATTCTAAAAATGTCCCTTGCGAATAATAGTAATAATAGTTAATAATAAGATGAATTAATTTCTCTGGTTGGTTTATATGTTTTTCTGCTCTCTCTCTCTCTTTCTCTCTTTTTAAGTCGTGTTGGAATTTTTCAAAGTCTGCAGCTTCGCCTCCAGTTCAGAGATCTGAAAAACACATAACAGAAAGGGATAAAGAGAAATTCTCCAGGCAGAGTAAGGAGTGTTCGGGATGGGGAAAGGTAGGTGGACTTAGGAAAGAAATACAGGTAATGTGGCTGGAGACACCAATGGTTTCGCTGGCTCAGAGTGACAGATAAAAATGGCGAGAAAAAATAATTAAGAGCAGTGAAGGAAAGTAAGGATAATGCTAAAATGTATATGAATAAAATTAGGAGACCTTGTTTACTGCAGATTTCAAATGACTTAGGCCTTTAATCTCTTTTCATGTCATTTTCATTCCCTGTTGCACTGCTATATATCAAGTTGTTTATAATTTGCTGAATTACCTTTTCAGTACCTCTTATTACTAAACATGCTGATTGGGATTGAAGGCATGAATTAGAAAAATCTGCAGGATTGCAAGTTATACACATGACACAGATATTTCCACATTACTTACTTTCTTATTCATTAATAGAAAGAGAAGAAATGAGCCTCTACTAAAATAAAAAGACTTACCTCCCATAATAGTGCTATTATACTTTCAGATCATTAACTGTTATATGTGAGAGGATGTATGTAAACTCTTGACAATAACAATGGATTATTTGGATATGGGGCTGTCCTTGGGGACAAGAATTCCATTTATTAAAAGAAGTGGGTGTACTATCCACATCCACAAAAGATCTGGGACTTGTCCATCTAGCTGATTCAATACAACTATGTTTTTGGCATTACAAATAAACTTTCCTGAATTGGTGTAATTTGGCAACATTTATCAATGCTTCAATTATATCATGTATAGAATGTGACTTCTCTGAAGAATATGAAAAACTTCCATTGATTAAAAAAAATGGAGTTAGCCATATAGGCAATGTGCTCTCCAAGTCAGACTTGAAAATTTTATTTATTTTTCTCATCTTGGAAAGAGATTCTTTAAAAAAAAAAACACCACAAAATCTGTTTTAAAGCTATTCTGAATTAACAAAGGGGAAAAATGCAACTTTGCTGCCAAATATCACAGTCTTGGAGAAAAGTTCTGAAAAGCCTCAAAAATGGAGCTTAGGGTATCTATAAATTTCATGAACCATTGTTTATTCACTTTTGGAATAAATGAATCAACCACCCTTTCAATTGAAGTTTAAGTAGTAGGGAACTTATGGGTATCCAGATGTTAGACTACACCTATAAGCCTTGATTTTTAGCATGCCAATGAAAGACATCACAAAGACCCCACTTCTGTTTTCAAGCTTGGACTTAACAATCACAAAGTTACTGTCGTAGAAACATTACTGCAGTGGGTAAATAAATTCAACATCTTTGAAAACTCAATTTTGGCGATCCTTCCTTCTTACACTTGTCCCAAAATTTCTGCCAACGTCCTTTATTTATTTATAGGCTGCCCAATTCCATCAGCACTGTCCATCAAGGTACTTGTTTTAGAAACCTTGTGAACAATTAGCTACTGTGCCAAAACAGAGAAGGAAAGAATGTTGATCAGCAACATACATGGGGAGCAGGTCAAGGAGAAATCAATGGAGCGATGATGATGAAAGAACTGTTTGGGGAAAAAGAGAACATCATGGGAGCAATCACTGGGAAAGCAGAGCTAAATCCTTGACTTTGTGGCTTGAATAAAGGTTAAACTCCTTTAAAAAGGAATGGAATTATAGTGCAATCTTGTACTTTTCATAATAATGTAATGTATGTGATGCTTACATTGGTTAGATAAAGATTAGACTGTCCAGATTTCAAAAACTGTCAGGGAATATACTCTTAGTTAAACTTTGTAAAGGAAGGAAAATTTGGCATAACTAAGCCTGAATATTGCAGAAGAAAACAGAGAAATTAAAAAAAAGAATCTGTTATCTACAATCTAGATTGAGGCAGCTCATTTGTATCATTTTTTAAAATCAATCGGTACCTCACACAGGTGCAGTTCCACACCAGATTATAATTTTGCACACAATAAATCTCTCTAGGATATACCAGCTTGGATTCTTGCCTGGTCTATCCCAATCTTACTTTGTCCAGACACCACAAGCATAGCAAATATTCCCCAATTCTGATAGTTTTCCATCTGGCAGCCCAGGAATAAAAAATATTGCATCAATTTATGTAAAACTAAAGTTTAATTCCTTCAAAAAGGTATTGCTGACTTTACCTTTGCTAACTTTAGCTTGTATACCTCTGAACCTCACTCTTTTCATCTGTAACTAATGATCAGTGGATCTGTTTCCATGACCAAGGTCAGGATGTTGAATAAGGGGAAAGACCTAAATGGTTAGGTTTTTAGGGGCTGAATTTCCAACAATGCACTGCAGGGGGAGCTAGTGAATAAATAGCCATTAGCGTTTCCAAGATATTCGCAGAAAAGGTTTTCGCTTTGGTTTTGGCTTCCATATCAGGCATTCCTATCACAGAAACTCGGAGCAAAAATGTGGCAGATTCCTCATGGCCCAGTAAGGAAATCATGGATGGATATAAACAGACAGACAGACAGACAGATTTGATCATGAGATCTGTTGCAGAGTCAGCAAGGCCTGGCATGTAATTCCCACTCAGAGCAAATGTATATGAAGAAGGAACAAATCCTAAATTAAGATTGAATTCTAGAGATCTATATGGGATCTGATATGCCCTGATGTAAAATCATATAAGTTTCTCAGATTGCAGGACCTGGGGGGGAAGAACAATGGATTCAATGTCTGAGGGAAATTTCTCTGGTGGAAGCTTCAGAAAGATAAAAAGATGTCCTCTATGCAAATATAGGATCCCGTATGAAAAGGGTATGAGATGCAATTATCAATCAGATAGAAGGATTCAATATATTCCCCTCTCTTCTCCCAGCTGCTATACCTTAACTAATGATTGCTTCGGATGAAATCATCTTAAGATCAAAAAATTCATGCCTAGCAATAAAAGAGTTCAGAAAGGCCAGTGCTCCTATTTACAGCTAGGTTGTTCTAACAGCAAGAGTTCTCTCATGTGTCCTGAGGCCTCTCTATCTCTTTCCATTCCCTTTCCTTTTTCTCATCCCTTTTGGGGGTCATGGTAAGCCCCCAGCACTGTCCTTGACGCCCACCTTCTCTTGCAACTTGTCAACTTCCTCCTTGTGAGCCAACTCCGACTCCTCTTGGATGCGACGCTGAGCTGTCTCTTTCTTGAGGAACTCTATTTCTCTGCAAGTGGAAAAAGAAGGTTGGGGTTAAAAACCAAAGTCAGAAATGCAGACACTATCCAATGATGAAAAAGGATGGATCACGCTAGGGTCACAAATTCTTTTAGGCAAAAGAATGACATTTGCATTTGAATGACGTGTTGCAAGCTAAAAGAATGTACAAAAAGTTAAACAGGCCCAGTAGAAAAAATAAATTTTATTTAGTATATAACAATTAAATTTTAACTTAATTAAATATTTGTCTCTATTTAAATAATAATTTCCTCTTTTGTTAACTAAAATGGCAATTTAGTAGCAACTTCAGCAAGAATTGTGCAAACTATGCCTAAATATTTCAGGGAATATTGAATCTAGAACCCTCTAGCTCAGATGAATGTTCTGCTTTAAAAAAAAATCTAATCAGTCTATTCAACATACCCAACAGAAGAGACACGTTCATTTTGAATGCTTTCTCTGCATCAAAAATCCTCATAAGTGAACACACAAAATTAATATATTGGGCACAAAAACAACAATCTCTTTTTTTCTCTTGAAGTATTATTTGCAAGAAACTGGGTAGATACCGGTAGCTGGGTAGGTAGGTAGTAGATTATATACATTAAACATATAATTCCATACCTATTGAAATGGACCAGCATTCTCAATCGTTTCTAGATTCTATCCAACTTATATAAATCAGACTATAGTTTCTGCCTACAATGAAAATATTCTGGGAAAAACCACTCATTACCAGTCCTCAAACTGTGAAATGATTCAGCTAGTACTTCACATATAACATAAAACTAATAAACAAAAAAGGAAGGGGGGGGGGGAGGAGGATCATTTTGCTTAGTTATTTCTCTATCTGTCTCACAGCCTTATCAAGAATGTCTCACATTCTTTATCAAGAATGCACAGCGTGATTTTTTAAAAACACATTGAAACCCACCAAAGGTGTTTTAAGAAACCACGTGGAGTTATGTTTATTTTGATAGGTGGTTTGATCAGGCATGCTGCTGCCCATTCTCAGTAACCTGATTTGTTCCATATGCGTACCAGTCCCATCGGATGGTATGGTGCTAATCCAAGTACTCTAGGCTTTGGGAAATGCTTATGATAGAACAGGAGTTGAAGGGATGGAGGTTGAAAATTATGAAGTAGATCTGGCATTCTAGTTCTTACTTCTGTTGATACTCCTTAATAAGTCGCTTAGCTTTGCTGTATTTTCTTTCCAGGGTCTGGTACTGGGCCTGGGTCTCTTTTAAGTGCTCATCCACAGCCTGGCACAAATTCTGAGCCTCCATCCAGTATCCCTCCAGCTTCTCCATCCGCTCCTTGTTTTCTTCTACACTCTGTTCCAGCTGGGCTTTCTCAATGCGCCAGCGAGCTTTCTCCTGTTCAATTGATTGTAGCTGTAGAGAATGTGAGAGGAAATACTTATATGTTAATTGATAAGCTAATTAGCTGCATTGCATTAATTTCACTTAGTGTAGGATCAAATAAATAACCAAACAGATAATGATCTTAATGAAAATCAAGGCCAAACAAAAACCAACAAAAACAAAGAACAAATCAAACAACTATTCATAGGCACCAGCAGCTCCATATCTTTACACTGGAATAAAAGCTTGGGGAATTCATATTGTTTACAAAGCCAGCAATTGTATTTAAAATCTGAATATATTTTGATAGGTTAATATAATCCTTTGCTGTTGTTATTGTGACGGTGTGTCTGACCCATTGACATAAATTTACATCCAACAGAAATTTAGGACAGGATGGGATAGGAATAGACAACTGGAATCTGATGGTCTCCATTTCTTTCTGAATTCTGCCCATTTGCCATCATGGCAAATAGTAGAGATTTGTAGAAATTACAATAAAAATTTTCAACCTAAGGTTGAAATATCTTGTGCTATGCTTAAAATCCTTCATAAGCAGCCTCATACAAAAGTTGCAACATTTCTTTCAGACATGGATGGTAGTGGACAGGTGTTAGTTTTATTGGAAAAGGGAAAATTAGTACTCTAAGCTTGATTTGGACTAGCTGTTGCAAGCTGGATTATTCTTGCTTCAGATGTTTTTAACACCAAACTAGCTGATTTAAGAGCCTTATAGCTTAAAACAGTGTGAAGGAAGTTTTAAGTGGACAGCTAGCAACTTACGCAGCAGAACTCTTGTTATGGGAAGAAAAAAAATGCTATGATTTATTGCCATTATAACTATTTTAGGAACCATTTTTTTAATCTATGGAATAGCTCATCTCAAAGATAGGTAACAACAAAGGAAAAAGCACAAGTAACATATTCCAATTAAAGTTCAAAGAAACCAGAAGGAATGTTCATGCAATAAAGTAGAAGATGCCCTCCAACTTTTGACAAAAGATCTAACCATGGGAAACAAGGAAGGGAAGCATAACAAGACAGAACTTCCAACTGATAGCATCCTAGCAGTTCAGTAGGAAAGTCAAAACACTGAAGACGAACTAATTATCTATGAAATAATTAATACAATTGTCATGGTGGCATTTTATATAGCTTATATGGGGGTTACTCCATTTTAACTGTACAAAAACCTTCCTTTTTACAAAAACTATAGTGCCTAGAACTACCCAGTGAGCAAAAGCTAAATATAGATTATGCCCATGTCCTCCCGGTTGGCTTCTTTGAAAATTCAAACAGAAGTCCTTCATTTGTTCTTTTGCCCATCCCATTTCAAATACTTTGCACAGCACTATTAAAAATAGTCCAGCTATTACAAGGCACATCCACAGAGCCAGTTCTTGCAGCTTTTCTGGAAAACACTCTCAAGAATGGATTTTGGCAAGTCTCCAAGGGAAGCAAAGGATTTTATGGCCATCACAGCCTTTATTCTTACCTTTCTTTTCAGCTGCTTTATTTCGGCTTCAGTCACAGCATGCTTGATCTGAAGCTGCCAAAGGAAGACATCGCGAGTTTAACTCCTTCCCTGGTTTTCATACATAAATCAAGAAGCCCCATGCCTTATGATTGCATTTCAGAGAGAAAGCGTTTGCTTTAGGATTTATTTTATTAAACAATAAAAATTAGGCAAAACGTTTTCTAAAGATAAATAAATAAACAAATTAAAAGGCCAGCTTTCATTTCATCTGGATATTTCCAATATGCTGATGAGTACCATGAAAAAAACAAAGTGCCATGGAAATGACCAGTAAGAACAGATTTACTTTGAAAGCATTGCTAGGATGTTGCTCTTTTAAGACATTTCAGTCGTGTTCAGGCTGCAATATTTCAACCATTAGTAGGCCATTTTGGTCTACTTATTATTCCCTCTCTGCACAAAATACTTTTTGTTTGACTTCTGTTATCTTTTTATAGGGACAAGAATTAAATTACAATAAAGCAATCACCACCTTCTGCAGAATTTCAGGTGTGTTTTATCCAAGTAACTTGCATCAAAGCATGCCAAGATCTTTTTTTAATACAGACACATACATACAGGTTTCTTTACTTTTATCCAGAATTAGAAGTGCCCTCTGCTAAAGCCACCAGTACATTACTGTTCTGAGAAGAGAAAACTGAGCAAGCAAGATATGCAGTATTATGCATGCATTTACTGAAGTCTCTTAACCTTCCTTAGAACAAACAGATAGGCAAGCCCAAGGAAGGTGTGGGCTCAGTTTTGCTCTTTCTCACCACTCTAAAATCAGAGCAGAGAATCCTGTCCTCTTCCTGTATCCTCTGGGCCATCCTAAGACTCCAATTTAGGACTGCTGTGACAATTATTTACATGCATTCTCCTTCTCTGTCTTTCACCATGTCAGTAAATCAACCCTGAATAGCCGTGACTGGATTGCTTAAATGAAAAGTTGCTGACACACATTCTAGGGTTGATGAGGGACCACTTCACACATTACTGGTGAAGCAATGAACATTAACATTTAATGTTTTCCAACCAATCATTTCCAAATCCTTCCCTTTTTAAATTACCATTCATACACTGCAGATGCTTGGGCTTGAGAGCTAACCATCTGCAGCTCTTCATAGTACCTTTCTGTAGTTGATGGGAAAGGGGGATAGATATGGATGTGCCAGATCTGCATACCAGACCTATAGAAAGCATTAAAAAAAGGTGCACAGCTATTTTGTGCACAAAGAACGCCAGGAAAAGTATTTGAGCTGTGCAAATGTTGTTATGACTCATTCCCAATTTCTAGTGTTTATCACTATCATTTGCAAGATGTATGTCTGAAGTCATCTTGAATAGACTAATCTAAATAGGGCGTTGGTACTTACCTGATACGCCCATTCTCTGTGAGCTGTGAAGAGCATCCAGAAGTGCGAGGTGCTTCAGTCTCTTCTGGAAAGGCTGGGCTTAAAACTCCGGGACGCTCCTCCTCCTCCACGGGACACCTCCTCAGCATTCCCCAGTTTTGCGAAGACTGAGTGCCAAAGTCCGGGACTCATCACCTAATCTAGATCCCTGACTGGAACGGAATCCCACCAGATGGAAAGAAATGGATGGGGCTGGATGCTCTTCACAGCTCACAGAGAACAGGCGTATCAGGTAAGTAATGCCCTTTCTCCCATGAGCTGTTCAGAGCATCCAGAAGTGGGACATACCAAAGCTTGGCCTGTCCTTAGGGAGGGACTCCGTCTGGATCAAAATCCACTCCCAAACTCTGTGGACCCTCTGCAGGACTCTTCTGCCAAATGAAGCGTCTGCTGAGGCATAGACATCAATTTTATAATTTCTGACAAAGGGAGATGGTGAAGCCCAAGTTGCCGCTCTGCAAATTTCGTCTATAGAAGCCCGTGTGGCCCATGCTGCTGATGTTGCCGCACTCCTTGTTGAGTGGGCTGTAATGCCTTGAGGAACTGAGATGGACTGGCTTCATAACTTTTAGCTATGGTGGCTCTCAACTATCTACCAATGGTCGTCGACAACACCTTTTGCCCTAAAGTGGATGGATTGAAGGATAGGAATAGAGCCTCAGATTTTTGAAATGCCGCCATGTGGTCTAGATAGATGCTTAAGGCCCTTCGAACTTCAAGTCGATGCCATTGATGCTCCAGTCTATGAGATGGTTTCGGACAAAAATTTGGAAGGACCAACTCCTGCGCTCTGTGGAAGGCTGAATTTACTTTAGGAGTGGACGATAGATCCAATCGGAGAATCACTCTGTCTGCATGAAATACGCACAGGTCCTTTCTCATTGACAATGCCGCCAATTCAGAAATTCTCCTAGCTGATGTGATTGCAATTAGGAAGGCCACCTTGTATGTCAGGAATTTAAGACTAGTAGTTTTTAAAGGCTTGAATGGGCCAGTTGTAAGTGCGGTTAACACCTTGTTGAGGTCCCAGGTGGGATAGCAGTGAATTACAGGGGGTCGTAATTTTGCAGTACCCTTAAGAAAGCTGCGGACATGTGGATGATGCGCTATGGAATGGAGGTCACCCCAGGTTATCACCGAGGCTAAGGCCGCCCTTGTCTGCGTAAAGTATTTGGGGATAGGCCCTTGGCCAACCCCTCCTGTAAAAAGTCCAATAATTGTCCTATTGTTGGGGCACTTGGGTCGATCTTAGACCCCTTGCACCAGCGACAGAAGGCGGACCACATGGCCTCGTATATACGATTTGTTGATGACCGTCTGGATGCTTGAATGGTGGCAATAGCATCCTCTGAAATCTGTTGGGCCCTTAAACGGCTCCGCTCAACCTCTATACGGCTAGACTGAGCCATTGTGGGTCCAGGTGAAGTACCAGCCCTTGGGAGAGGGAAACCTTCAATGGTGGAATTTTCCAAGGTTGTTCCCTCGACAGGTCCTGTAAATCTGCGAACCATGTTTGCCTGGGTCAGTAAGGGGTGACCAATATTAATTCCGCTCGTTCCTCCAAAAACTTCTGGATCAACCTGGGTATTACCGGGAGTGGAGGAAACGCATATAGAAGTCTGGGAGGTCACTGACATCGTAGGGCATTGATGGCCTCTGCCCCCTGAGTCGGGTACTTTGAAATATACCGGGGCAATCGGGCATTGAGAGAAGCAAATAGATCGATCACCGGTTGCCCAAACCTCCGCATTGCTTCCTGGAAGACAGACGGGTGTAGGCGCCACTCTGCCTGATCTATTGTGGCCCTGCTGAGCCAGTCTGCTTGTGTGTTTAAGGCCCCTGCTATGTGTCCTGCCTTGAGCGAAAACAGATTGGCCTCGTCCCACTTGAACAATTTGGCCGTCTCCAGCATCAGAAGTTTGGAATGGGTGCCCCCCTGTCTGTTTACGTGGGCCTTGGTTGTGATATTGTCTGTCAAGACCAGAACTTGGCGTGATTGGAAAAGGGGTAGGAAACTGCGTAAGGCCAGGTGAACTGCTCGCAGCTCCAACAGGTTGATGCTTTGTGATTGTTTGGAAATAGTCCAAATTCCCTGCACAGTGTGGGATTGGAAGTGAGCCCCCCATCCTACCAGGCTGGCATTGGTTGTGATCGTTGCCCTGTAAGGTTCCTTGAAAGGACACCCCTTGTTTATCATTTTTTCCGACCATCAGCAGAGCGATCGGAGCACATTGTGCAGTACCTTTATCCAGACGTTGGAAGTGGCTTTTCTGGATTGCTGGAAAGGTAGCAGGAACCATTGCAGCTCTCTAGAATGGAATCGAGCCCAAGGCACAATGGAAATACAAGAAATCAGTTTGCCCAACAGTTGAGACAGCACTTCCAGGGAAACCCTCTTTGAGGCTCTGATCTCTCTGGCCAAAGACTGGATACTGTTTAACCTGTCCTGAGAGAGAAAGACCTTGCCCTCCACGGTATCTATCACTGCCCCTAAATGAACTAACCTAGTTGAGGGGATCAAATGGCTTTTATCCCAATTTATGGAAAAGCCATGACCCTGAAGGGTCTCCAGGGTAATCTTGGTATCCAAGTTTGCTTGGTATCTGGAAGATGACAAAATTAAAATATCATTCAGATAACATTGTAAGCGAATAGATTTGATCCTGAGTGAGGCAGCCAAAGCTGCAAGGACCTTGGTAAAAGTCCTGGGGGTCAAAGCCAGACTGAATGGTAGGGCGATATATTCGTAGTGCCGATCAAAATAGCAAAATCTAAGATATCTGTAGTGAGCAGGTCTAATTGGTATGTGTAGATAGGCCTCTGTGAGATCTATAGAGGTCAGGACATCATTCTCTCTAATGCTGAGCAGAATGGACTGGGGAGTAGTCATCTTGAATTTTCAATAAACCAATGATCTGCTCAGATGTTTGAGGTCCAGAATTGCCCTCCAGCCCCCTGAACTCTTTGGGACCACAAACAATAGACAGTAACAGCTTTGACCCCGCTGTTCAGATGGGACTTCTCTAATGGCCCGAATATGTAGGAGATGATTGATAGCCTCCTGCATCAACGCCCTCTTAATGGGGTTCGTGGACCTAGGGCTCCTAATGAAAAAGTTCGGGGGGGGGGGGGAATTGAAAATCTAGCGCCAAACCTAATAGTGTCCCTGACCCACGCATCAGAGGTGGAGCTGTCCCATTGATCAGCAAACAATTTTAGCCACCCTCCAATGGGAACTGCTGTGAAGGACTAACTTGGGGCAATGAAAAAATCAGCCTCCAGTGCCTCTGGGGTTTCGTCTGTTTTGGCCTCCCCACTGACCTCTATCAGAAGATTCAGACGTATCCTGTCTAAAACTGGGCCTGTAATCTGATGTTCTCTGAGATCTGGAAATGTAGGAGCCCTGATAGTAGGGTTAAAAGGAACCCCTTCGAAATGACTGGGCATTCTGTTTTCAGATCTCCAAAAAAGAGGGGGAAGCACTTTTTTCTTGTTTCTATTCTCTATAAGGAGGGGCTTCAAGACACTGCCAAATAATTCATCCCCCGATATTGGGGATGATGCCAACTTGCATTTATGCTTGGTATCCGCCTGCCAATGCCTGAGCCATAGCAGTCT